ATTAAACCATATATAAAAATCATTTTTTTAGTGATTCGATTTGTCGAGAAAATCAATATGATTAGTGATTTCGCAACTAAAAACAATTTTTTTTTATATAAAGCAAGTATGATTTTCAAGAAAATAAAGTGATTTTCACAATTCAAAATATTTTCAGCCTATCTCATATCATGCTTTTTTATTCACTTATGTATGTACACTGGAATGCCACAAAATAAGTCTCAGTAGAATTAGTAGTTACTTAAGCGAAATAGCACATTTAATTGAAATTTCTCTATTTATTTTTATAGATATTCTCATGTCCCGTTTGGGATCAGAAGTTCGTTGTACGTATGTATGTAGGGAATTTAAATTGTATTAAGTTTAAATTTTCATAACCAAATTAAAAAGAATACAAATTTTAGTTTACAAAGATACTTCTCAAGCCGCTACGATGCTAATATCAGGGCTACTTTTGTTTGAAAGATATACATATGTGTGTATGTAGATATATGTATGTATTTAGAGTTATTTTACGCAAATTATATATATATTTTTTTCACATCTAATAACTGCTTATGTATAGTATAAGTATGTTATATTGCCTTTGCCCTTGCGGTTCTACGATTCCGATTTTCTAAAATCTTAAACTTTTACGTGCTTTAACATTACTAGGCGTATCGTATGGATGTAATCTCTCCTGACAACGTTTTCTCCTCTTGCGCAGCTCAGTCGGAAGCGATTGTGTTGTGCGTGGTGTAACAACATTCAATGGACTGTGCACTGCTGGCATTGTATTGACGTTACTTGGTTCGTTGCGCTGCTGTTGGGGAGGTGGGGTGCTGCAGCCGTTATTGTTAGCAACTGTCGGTGATGGCGTATGTACCTGATTTATATTCATACGCTTAAAATAGCCAGGTAATCCCGAGGCTAAAGCATAACATTCCATTGTAACTTATTTGGCGAAATAAATAAAGTCTGTAAAATAAAAAATGTTTGCTTGTTTATGAGTCATGAACTGCAATGAAAATGTATAATTTACCTCTAAAACACCAGCATATCCTATTCCCGCTGAGGTATTACAGCTGCAGCAGAGGGAAGAGTTCTTGGTTAACTAATACAAATATAACAATTGTCTACTCTTTATATACGATTTTTTTTGGAGTTTCATAGTATATACCGTTTATTTATTTTCATACAAGTAGTATGTACTCACGGCAACCTTTTCTTTAGAGAATTTTCAGCTATTTGTCCTTGTTTTATGTGGGCTTATTTAATTTGGGATATATTAAGCACACCCACATACATATGTACATGCATACATATGCACGGAAGGTTAACTAACGCCTTTTTGATGCTTTGCCCTGTCTACCTCTATTTAGATTAAGATAACGAATTTTCAGCATANAGGTTAACTAACGCCTTTTTGATGCTTTGCCCTGTCTACCTCTATTTAGAAACATAACGAATTTTCAGCATTAAATTTATTTGAAATCCTAATATCCTGGCATTTTGAGAACTGCCACCAATTCTACCTGCAAAAGGTTTTCAAGTTTCTTAGAAGGACATCCCAGCCCATATGCAAATTTTTCGTGCCTCCGCGAAATCTTAAATAAAACATATGTAACTACGAAGTCATTCAAGGTCAATATGTATATTTTTTCTGGCACTATGTATATAATGAACAATGTTTTTTTTTTTTATTTGTGACAGCGCGCAACCGTTTACATACTTAAATTCAATATCCTCGCCTAATGGAACTTCCGTTAAGTATCATCTTGTAGGGAAATGACGCTTAGGGCCGGTAGCTCAAAGCCTGGTTGACATTAATCTCCGGTTAACATCGTTATTGACGTATTCGACTCCATGCATATAACACGGCGTCGGTAACGTCGATAAAGATATTTAACCGGAGATTTTAGCTTTGTTTCTTAACAGATAATTATCACAAACTTTTACTGGATTCTGCTGGAAAGCGTTTCTTAACACAAAAAATTTGCAGAAGAGAGTCAAAAAGAGAGCATAAAAACCGAGAGAGCTGCAAATTTCTGCTGGCAGTCATATGTTTAAGAAGCAGCTGTTCAAAATGCACAAGGAAAAAATTGGCAAGTTTATTTTACTTCGTTTTAATAAAACAAAATGAGTGCATCGTTATCAAAACACAATAGGGGTATTCTCTGAGTCTTGCAAAGCCCTTGCAAGGTGCACGGATTGCACGGTTTGCAAAGCTGTCCCATACGAAAACCGTTTTTTTCCGTGCAATCCGTGCAATCTGTGCACCGTGCAAGGGCTTTGCAAGACTCAGAGAATACCCCTATTGAAATATTGCAGAATGTAAGGATTTGTGCATAAATTTGAAAATGTGTGTGTGTGTATATATACTGTGATTGCAAATTTCTGCTAGTTTTCGTTTCTTTACTTTTTCCACTTTCGATCTCTTTGCGCGTAAAATTATACTCTTCGCCAATCTGCTATCAACAGCTGTAAAAAGTTAAGAAACACTCTTTGTGTCAACCAGGCTTTGAGCAACCGGCCATAAGTCGCTGCTGCTAAAAGGGTTGCCTACATTTTCTAAGAAATCGCAACCTAACCGATAAAATAACGTAAGAGAATTTTTTTCAAAATTTTCTTTTTGATGCAGAAATGCATCTAGATGCTTTTGGAATATTTCTGCATCAAAAAGAAAATTTTGAAAAAAAGGTCGCTTACATTATTTTGGCGGTTAGGGCTCGATATATATAGCAAAATAATTACTGTCGCACCTAAACAACCTTAAGTATTTCCTCGGGAATATATAGCCACATAATCTAATTGGAGCATGGACGTGGAAAGTGACTTATTTCAGAACTACTTTTGACAAGCCAAGAAAACTTGTGATCGCTGGAAATCCTTTAGAAAAGATAGCACGAACAAAAAAAAAAAAAAAAAAAAGATTTTTTGTAACCAGTTCTCTGAAAATAAGGAAAAACGTGGACGCGTGTGAACATATTCAGAAAAACTGCTTTCTTTCAATAAGAAAGCTGTGCCTTAAAGAGCCTTAAATTAGTTAATAGACCGTGGAGTAGATATTCAGGTTAAACCTTTAGCCAAAGGCTTATAAGAGAAACAGAATTCGTGGTCTTGACGGGCTGCAATCCAAAAGAGAAAGGATATAAGCAAAGTGCTACTATCGACACGTAATGTACGTTTACGTCGGTGAGTGTGGCCACTTTAATACTACATTTATGCGTAGGCCGATTCACGAAATAATTTCATAAATTCGGGTTAAAATTGGCTGCATAAACGCAATTTCATGAATTCAGATATGCACGAAAATTAACCATGAATTTCGGTATCAATTCATGAAATCGCAACGCCACGTTTCACAAACAACTGTTTACTAGGGTTATGACGTTTTTAGATCAAGGGCATGTAGTGGCATAACCATTTCTTGGTAGCAACGCCTTTAGCAAATTCAAAAAAGGCCAAAGAAACACAATCCTACTATTGAGTCTCCTGCTAGTGTGCTGCCACTTTTTCAAAACACCTCATTTCGAATCCGCGATTTATGCATAAACGGAACCCCTTTTTGAATTCGTCAAATGAAGAATTCACGAATTCTGTCACATAAACGTAGTACATATAAAAGTCTCATCAGAAGAGACTTTCAAACTTGATTTCCCAACATTTTTATTTTTACACATTGATGTTTCGGCATAACGTTTCGAATGAACCATTTCCCGTTCAAAGAAAAAAGGTTGGAGACTTCACTATTCACCTCATCATTTACATAAACCGCACTGAAGAAAAAAACATCACTGCTGATTTGTTATCAGTGCCGATTTTCGTTGGGCATGTTTGATTACACAACACAAGAACAGCTGTTTCGTTAAGTTGAGAATTATATACCCCAGCGGGTGGTGGTGGAGAAAAGGTGAGTAACTTGACTTTTGATTGCTTGTATGAGTATGTGTGTGTGGCTTACTTTTGTGGGGAGAGCACAGCGCATGAGATGCATTCAACATTTTCCTACATATGAGCGGTTTATTTTGAAAGTGGCATAAGTCACTTCGCACCTCTTGCGATTAAATGACCTGTTACTAGTATATGAACGCGTCGGTTATTCGTTCAACTGCATCAACGAAAGGGAAAAAGGTTTGTCATTAGTTTATGAAAATAGAACGATTTACAGGTGCACCCAGTTACAAGTAACCGGCCATTTAACCAAAATAGGTATGAAGTGACTTATGCCAGTTTCAAAGTAAACGGTTCATATCTGTGAGATACATACTACTATTGCTGTGGCGTATAATGTGGGGTGTTTGGCCGGCAATTCTGTCAGTTGATTGTCACATGCTGAGAAATTAACAACTATATAGGTTGAGGTGATATACTTTAAATTAAACATAGTACCTACTTATACTCAAGCGAAGCGGTGAGATAGATTGAAGAACTTATTCACTAAGTAGGAATATAGTAGAAACCAAGTGGTGGTAGTGGTGAATTATACAATATAATAAAATAACTCCAATCAGCCCCCCCCTGGTTGAGCACGTTGTTTTTCATTCAACAAAGCAGCTACATAACAATATTTTAGAAGTTTTTGGTGGAAGTGCACTAAATACCGAATTATGTTATGTAAAGTGGCTAACGAAGAGTAAAGGCATACGAAAGTGTTTGTGATATAAAGATTCTGAAATGTTTTGAAGTTGTGATGAAATTATAGTGAATTTTTTTTTCCTCTCGACGTCGAAATTAGAAAACACAATAAAAAGGTAAATAATACCAAAATAGAGAGAATAACTTATACAAATAAGTGCAATTTAATAAATACACATTTTTATTAAATAACAAAGGGCAGTGCTATTACTGTATCGTGCACTGAGGCCAGCGGCAGTGGCAGAGTTAAGGACAAGTGCGGTCGTTGGGACGAGACAAGGGCAAAGAAATTTACATTCGCGCATACATACATACATACAATTAAAAGAATTAAATTGCGCGACGCGGTTACGAGTGCAATTTTCTGAAAGCGATANTGGGACGAGACAAGGGCAAAGAAATTTACATTCGCGCATACATACATACAATTAAAAGAATTAAATTGCGCGACGCGGTTACGAGTGCAATTTTCTGAAAGCGATTGTCAAAGCGTCATTGCCGCATTTAAATTGGAAAATTTTGCCAACAATCACGCGCTTCTATCGCCTCCCTGTAGCCGGTCGACACAAAGGTGCAAGTGAAAATTTTCCACGGCCCCATATTTTTTGCAGTGCGAGCATCCGTAAAATGTTGACCGTGTCCAAAGGCCCCAGCAAGATTGTCGCCAAAACACGCCGAGGTTAGTAAAGTGCTATATTTTTTTTCGAAATAACAAAAATCACATTTCCGGTTAACAGTTCAATAACCGTTAGCGGTTGCATGTCCCTGAAATCAATAAGGACAATCGTTTTCTTTTTACAAATGCCAGTGAAACGAAATAAAAGTTGTTATGTCACACAAAAATCTCGAGGCATTCAAATACGTTAACCACACATCCCACATCCCATTGCCCGTCATAACCATAGCACATGTTTTGCTAGTGTGGTGTGAAATGAGTGTATTTTGTTGTTGCTCTCGCTGCTCTTACTGTTGCTGTTGCTGCTCATTCTATCGGGTTGTAAAGTACGGAAAATGCTCGTTTTCTCGAGAATACTCTGACATTGCGTTGGCGGCAGCACTCACACACTCTTTGGCACTACTGCCATGCGGTTGAGATGTGGAGGTCAGGCATGCTCGCTACCAGCTCCAGCTACTTTGTACGAGTAGATATGTTGAGTGCTGTTAGGTAGCTAGCAAAAACAGGCCCCCCAAACAGTGTTGCCAGAAAGTTATTTAAAAAAACTGTAAATTTGCCGAAGAAAACTGTATTTTGGACCAAAAAAACTGTAAGCACGTTTTAGGAACCGCAGCGAAGCATCAGCAAGGGTTCCGTAAAGTGCACAGCACAACAACAGCACTTAACGCCATAAAAACTCAGATAACACGTGGCCTAAACCGTAACCGCCCCTGTGAGAGAACAATTCT